CAGCCGAGGACTCTTGAACCCCATCACCCCTAGGCATGTTTAAAATTGCAGCCTATTCCATGGTGCTCTTTCTTAATGCACCCAGCTAGTTACAGGAATCTTTTCAAAGTAGCTAATCCCAGAACAACTCAGTGTTTATATAGGTGAAGGAAACAATCCTCCCAGATCAGCCTTCATTTAGAGAAGATCTCAAGGCAAAAAATGCATCTTAGAAAGCAAACTTGTATATACAGTGGTGTCTCGCAATACGAATTTAATTCGTTCCGCGGGTAATGTTGCCTTGCGAAAAATTTTGTCTTGCGAAATGCGTTTCTCCATAGGAATGCACTGAAATTTAAATCTCCCAGGATTCTCAGGCCAGAATTTTGATCCCTAGGCAGAAGAGGCCAACAGGTGTGCCTGATAATAGTGTATCTTTTACACTCTTATCCTTAAAGATTCCTCATAATATCTCCACTGTTTATCAGTGTCTATAGATAGAGGTGTAGAATACTTAACAGCTTGCTGTCCTATTCCCAGTATTAAGCATGTGAGTTTGTCATTTGATTATGGGCATGCAGGATCAAGAAGCACACCTGACTGGGAGGACAAAATGAATCTTACAGTAAGCCTGGTCGTTGATTATGGTTCCTGGCTTGGACAGCTTTTGGAGGTGGTTGGATAAGTACATGAAGGAGGGAAGCACTATCAACAGCTGCTAATGTGAGATTCTGATGGAAGCCCAAAGTGAAGAGGCTGCTCGCCTTGGAATGCCAGTTGTTGGAAGGAAGAGATAATTGTTTTTCAATCTTGTTGGTGACTATTCTAGAAATCTCTGGTACAGTGGAGGGGCAGTGACTCAATTTGGGGCTTTAGTCAAAACGTTAAGGAGCTACCTATGGTGCTGAACCTATCTCAGGAGGTTCAGCTATAAAAGCCCAAGTGGCCTCACTATCTCTGGCAAGTAGAGTACCAGCATCCATTCCTAGCTGATGGCCATTGCTTCAAACAAGATTTTCCATTAGATTGATCATGGGTCTGCCCTGGATCTTGGATAAGTTTGATGGTTTTGTTGTTGTTGTTGTTGTTGTTGTTTTTGTAAAGACAACTCAGATTCCCAGCCAGGGGAGGGGAGGAGTTTTTTTGTTTGTTTGTTTGTTTTTTGTAAAGACAACAACACTCAGCCAAGGGAGGGGAGGGTTAGAAATTGTAATCTTTGATTTGATCTGCATTACATGTCAGCCGTCCCCCAATATGCTCCCTGGTGTGCACATTCGAATGAGAAGTATTTGTTTCAGATTTTAAGCAAGCTGAGATTTTCCCATCATAAGGCAAGTGCAGGAATGTTGGGGAGTTAACTTTCTGAAAATGAATCATTACAGATGTAACATCAAGATCTCAGCAGCCGTTGCATTTCTTAGAAATTTAACCTTTATTTTCATATTATTCAAAACTAGCCAAAAATTTTAATGTTAGTTCCTATTTAAAAAACTCAGAATGCTACAAGCCATGGGCTTGCCATTCGCTACACACCTGAATAATGAGGACACGCAGAGATTCTATAGATTCTATACACTTTAAAAACATGTACAATTATACAGCAAAAGAAGTGAAGTTGTCCTTCCTGAAACTGCAGTTGTAATGAAGCTTAGTTCACTTCAATTATCACAGAAAGGAATTCATCAGAGCTTTGATTCGTTTTCAGACCACAGCTCCCAAAACCCTTCAGCCAGCGTGGCCACGGTCTGAGAGATTTACAACCCATGACTTTTCTAAGCTTTTCTTTTTATTTCTTTTTATTTCCTTGTTCTTTTTACTTCACATTTCTGGTTAGAGATAGGCACGAACCCTCAGTTTGGTGGTTTGCGCTGGTTCGTTTTTCAGCCGAACAGGTGTTTCGGCGCTCCCCAACCTTGCCCCATCTAGCAAGTGCCCGCTCAGAGATAGCGACCCGACTTCCCTGCCCTGCCTCCTTCAGGTGCTGTCTCTGAGTGAGCACCTGCCAGAGAAGGAGGGGCGGGGAAGCACCCAACACCTGTTCGGCTAAAAAAACGAACCAGCACAAACCACCGAACTGGAGTCTTGCTCAGACAGCAGGGAATTATGGCTTTCCGTTGCGAGATGGAACAATAGCTCAGCTTTCCTTGCCTACATCTGCTGGTCTTTCACCGTCACCAGCAGATTGTGTATAGAGCCACACACACCTTGGTGCACAAAAAAACAACAAAGACTCACCTGGTTTCTGACATACCATCTGAGGCTGGTGAAGGGACCTCATGATTTCCCTGCCAAGGTGAGGATTACAAGCTTTCTCTCTCTCTCTCCTGGGGCACATCTCTGCAATGCAGCAGATATCTACAGCCGGAGGAGTAGACAATTCCCTGGACTGATCCTTAATTAGATTACAATAATTGCTGTGGAATGCTAATTCAGAGGCATGTGGTAGATACTGTGTGTGTTGAATGAAGCAAGGCAGCAGTAATAACGTGGGCAGCAAAGTCCTGCTTGCCCTTCTGACAGAAAGGATTTGGTATTGCTAACCTGCCTTTCTTTGGAAATTGTTGCAGGATCGGGCAGGAGAAGAATGAGACGCCACTGTTCAATGCACTGAGGCAACCACAGCAGTGCATATGTTCCAGCATCCTTTCCCAGAAACCGCCCTGTTTTCCCTCACACTCTCAGATAGGAATTGGTCTCCTTTTTTGTTTATTATTATTCAGCATCTTCTGTCTTTCAGGATGCAGCCATATTCTCCAGGTGTGCTACAAGCACAATATTTTAGATTGGAGAAGGTGGACACTGGATCCAAAATGGCTTCTTTTTAATTCTGTATTCCCAAATCTCCCTGCCAGCATGGCAGTCCATAAAAGTCACGTTCCCAAGCTCTATCTGTGGACATTTCAGTGCTCTCGGGTTATCAGTTGGCTTTCTTGTTCTCCCTGGACCTCTCTCTCTCAGTGGCCTCTGGTGTCAAAGGACTGACTTTTCATAGGCATGCCCATTTGCTCCTGGAAAAAGTAACTTCAGAACACTAGAGGAAGTTTTTAGAAAAAGAAGAGACTATCCAAGCAGCAATTAGCTCTGTCGGTTTTGAGACCATGGCAAAAATGTCTCACGGGACATCTCAGTGTACCTTAGGATGACCATGTGCATCAGGGTGTGGGAGAAACTCAGAACCTCATAGATGAGGACCCGTCCATCCACAACTGGAGCTACAGTAGGATGGTATAAATTGGACCAATGATTTGCAGATGGCCTGAGATCTAACAGCTTAATCCCATAACTCTTCGGCTTCTGTTGTTTTCTAGTTCCATTCAATGTGCCTGAGATCTAACAGCTTAATCCCATAACTTCTGTTGTTTTCTAGTTCTGTTCAATGTAATATGAGACAAATAGGAGAGTATGCTTTTAAAAATCACATCATTATTTGGTTGATCCTGTGAAAAGAGCTGGCAAAGTAGGAGAAAGGGACCTCGGTCTGAGCCTCCCCTGTTGCCTCGGCAGTTTGGACTGTGCAGAGAGATCTTGGGCTTTATTGCCAGGTTCCGCTCTCACTTGACTTCTCCTTTGGTGCTAGCAGTTTGCCCTCTTGGATTCCATTTCTTCAAATCTCCGGGTGTGTTTAATTTAGTCTGTTCTAATTTCATTCATGCTGGATGCAACATGAAAGACCCATAAGGGTGTCGCTGTGCCCCCTAGGTGACCAATGGCGTATTGCTCCACCTCTCTAAGTAATAATTGTGTGACATCCAAGACTCGCCAAAGGGACACAAATGGAATCTCTCTGAAGAATATAATATCTTGGAAGAATACAAGGGCTGTGGGCACATTCAGGGGCCCTCTAAGCAATGTGCTCCCTGTTCGTTGATCCTTCCACTCTGGAAGACGTACCACTGAATTGCATCCGGCATGAATGAAGAAGGAAATGGACCAACAGAATTGCAAAAATCCCTCTGGTTTGGTCCAATATTTTGGACATTTACTCAAAAGCAGCACACCTCCTTGATACCTTCAAGCGGCAATGTAGAAACTGCATTTGTCCCTCTTTTGAAACTGCTCTGCACTTAAAATACTTATAGATCCAAACTATCTTAACTGTTCAGTTTGGGATGCGGAGTGGGAGGCAGATAGCAACGATAATCGGTGCAGCAAAAATCGCTGCAAAGCGATTTCATCGCTATGCAATTTTAAAAAGCCCATAGGAATGCATTGAAACCCCTTCAATGTGTTCCTATGGGCTTCAGACTCACCTTTAAACGAAAATCCTCCATACGGTGGCCATTTTCACTGCCCAGTAAGCGAGGAATCCATCCCAGAAAACAGCGGACGGCCATTTTTTTACCCGGTGGCCATTTTGGAACCGCTGATCAGCTGTTAAAAATCATCGCTTTGCGATGATCGGTAAGTGAAACAGGGTACCGATAATCGCAAAGCGATTTTTCCCTATTTGAAACATTGCAATGCAATCACAAAAGCGATTGCAAAATCTTCATCGCTATGCAATTTCATCGTTAAACGGGGCCCCTGTTAAGTGAGGCACCACTGTATTTATTTATTTATTTGTCGTATTGACTAGTAGAGAAGGGCATCAATTCTTTCTGTTAGTTAAATAAGAAAGCTTTATTGGATGCAAACGATCTCTTTTTTTCTCCCCCACCCCCCCAAAAAAAAATCTGTTGCAAAGCTACTGCAAGCTGATTAACATTACAGACCAAAAAAAAGGTTAAAACACTGGGGAGAATTGAGCAATCTTGTTTCCATGGAGTTTATTTAACAGTGTGTGCCGATTACTCAAAGCGATATGGGCAGGACCTGGTGATCTAGTGTTGCTCTAGAATTTTAACTTTCTAAGGGGTTTGATCCAGTATGCCTACAGTATGAGATATCTATATCTATATATTTTACGTTTGCGGCGACCAGGAACCCTGCTTTATCGCTTTGTATAGTTTTAAAGTAGTTTAAAGCTTGAATAACATAAAATAACATAATATAATGTTATTTATGTTATTTCCCACGTGAAGAACTCCTGTAAACCTTGCAGTATTGAAACTCAGTGAACAAGGCATCTTAGACAAGCTGAAAAACAAATGGTGGTACGATAAGGGTGAATGTGGCGCCAAGGACTCTGGAAGTAAGGTCAGTCCCTGAAGGTCTCTTTGTACTGATTAGCAATCAGATCTCTCTCTCTCTGTCTCTCTTTTTTTTTTTTTGACCCACTGTTTTATTTATACCAGAATGCCTTCCGAAGTGAATGATTGACATTTAGATTTAAGGAAACAAAACCAAGAAAAGGGACATAATCACATATCTATAGAACTACATATATATATATATCTATAATTTTTTAAGAATCTAAAATTTAAAAAGGAGAAATCCATTAAAATCAGAAAAAGCAATTGCCCGTGTTCCTTCTAAGCTTTGCAGCTGCGCAGTTGCACAGCGCTGTATTGGTGCCATGCACCCACCGTTAGCGTTGCTGCTCATTTGATGCTGGCTGTGGTCAGAAGGTTGTGCCCAGCATGGGTGGAAAATTAGAGGGAATGTTGGCAATTGCCTTTTTCTTTTGTGATATCAAAGACATTAGTTTTAAGCACCTTTTCTTAACCTACTGCATTTCCCCCCCCACACAACATTTGCAGATAATAGTCAATCACAGTAAGAGGAATCCTCATAATCTCCAACTGGTTTCTCCACTTCAGTATCTCTCAATTTACAGAAGGCCCATTTGTGACTTTAGCCTTCAGGTCTTTGTTTTCTAAAAGATTTGCAAAGTATATAAACTGTATGACAACATTTCATAAGGTCTCAAGAGAAAGGTGCTTCTTTTTTCAAACCATAGATGTGTGAGTATTAAAGACAGAGTTTTCGAGAGAACATCACATTAACAAGCATGAAACATCCTTTTTTTTTTTAAACCCAAAGAAAGTTTGGAGGGATTTTTTTTTTAAAAAAAAATCAATATAGCCGTACACTGTTTTATTGCTGGTTCATTCCATAAATTCTGGGCATTCAATTTTTTTTCATTCTTTTTTTTTTATGATTCTTCATCAAGCCATTTTGCTACTGTATTACTACATCCCATACCAGAGACTTTGGCACATGCATACTTTAATTTTCTTTTTTATGGTATGGCTCTCAGCTTATAGTCACAAGCCACACACACAAATTATGTTGCTAGGACGGTGGGTGAGAAATGAACCCCTCTGATAATTTCTCCTGTGGAACTTCCATAAACTTGAAGTGGATGTTTTACGGGCAAGAAGTGATGACAGGGGTTTCCATCCATAGATGCTTTTTCTTCTTGATTTGGGAGAAAACATTCTGCTTACCTGCTGTGAAGAAACATGGAGATGTATATAATAGAACAACTTAAAAAAAAAAGAATGAAACGCCAGGACACTACTCTATACAATTTTGGATGCAATGCAATCTTTCTCAGGCACAAAGCATAGCTTGATGTTCAGCTCCCATTGCAAACAAATGGGATCCCAACACCATCTTCTGCTTGTACCTTTGAAAAATTACAGTGATAATCACCATAATGAGGGATTATTGGATGCTTTTTTAAAAAACCCAAACAAAGCTCTCTTTTCTGGTCCTACTGAAGTCAATGGAGAAATTCTGATTCCAGCAGGACTAGAAATTGAGCTAGCCACTAGATGAACTTTGGGCCGATGGACGTTTAAATGCACCATTGCAGGAGCAGCCTCTTAACAATTCAAATGCTTTGAAGCAAAAAGTGAAATAATTCAAGACATATTAGGACAGTTAAGCCCAGTCTTTTCAAATGCCTTCATTCTCTCTGGCTGAAACTCAACTAATTTGGAAGGGGATCTTGGGGGAGCTTGGGGATTGTTTATGTTCTGTCTCCAAATTGCTTAGCTGTTTTGCAACCATTTCCAGATTTTTGGTCAGGTGAGGCTCAACCTGCAACTTCAAATTTCTGCCACAGATTGGTCTGGAATCCAGATTGACATCAACTACTCAGGCCTTGCCTACATAAGAGAGCTGTGTTGATTGTAGGTTACATCAAGTGTGAAACCAGGACAAGCCCCATGTCTGGATGCTGCTTTTTCTTCTCTCTGTCAAAATGGTTTCTTAGTTTTGCCTTTTGCGGTTGTTTTCTTCTGGCTGCTTCAAATTCTAAAACCACTGAATTAGCAGAGGCTCGTCAGCTTCTGTGGGGTTGATCCAGCAATGTCAACGTTGTTGGGAGTTTAACACTCAGGGGTCTGAAGTACAAAAGTGGTATCTCTTCTCTGGGACCTGAACTGGCTTGACCCACTTGATTTGACTTCTTGTCCAGCAATAACCAGCACAACTTTCTCATGTTGACAAGCCATCTGATTTTCTTTGTGTCACAGCTCAAAAGCATAAGGATTCATACAATTGAGAAACCCATACAAGCAGGTAATCCAATTCAGCAGCAAAATGGTTATGATGGTGTC